CGACGATTTCCACCCCGACAAGAGATTCGGCCATCGGCTCCGGGAGTTCGAGGGGAGGGGAGGCCCGCCCCTGCAGGATGAGAAATGGAGACGAGGCGGGCCCGGGCCTCCCTTCCCTCCTGATCACAGGGAGTTTGAAGGAGGAGGTTCCAACCGGGGCCCTCCCGGTGCTTGGGAAGGACGGAGACCTTCAGATGACAGATACCCGCGGGATCCCGAGGACGCGCGCTTCCGAGGAAGGCGAGACGAGAGGTAAGAGTAAATCCATTTCTCTTCCTTGGGTTAAAGGGTAAATGGAGGGAACTCTTTTATTCCTGGTTTCCTTTTCATTAAGGAGTCTATCTGTTTCAGATTTATAAACTGGAAACCAATAAGGAAATGAAAACTCTAATATACCTGAGTGTAGAGTCCATAAAAATCATTCAGTAATAGAAGAAAACTTGAAAAATGGTCATTGTACACAGCAGCTTCCGTGTCTTTAAACAGTAAGTAAAGAGAAGGGGGAAAGTTTGTAGAGAAGATCCAGTGACACAGGATGAAGAACCTGAGACGGTTTTGATGAAAATTGAGAGGAGACTTAAAGGTTAAAATGACCCTTTTGAACACTAGAAGTGGATTTTGAGAGTCTGTCTCCAGTCACAAACTACAGCATGACTGTAGAGACTGTAGGATGAGATGCAATGCCCTTGTAAGGAGCAGGAGCAGTGATGTGACTGCCACATAGAAGGGCCAGACTTACAGCATCTGTTGGACTGTTGAGACTATTTTTTCATGCATTTGCTTGTAGAAATTTTATTTCTTTCTGACTTATTTCTTAATGCCAGGTGAAGAACTCAAAAATAATCTGATTTACAGCAATGTCCTGGTCATTGCTCACAATCTCCGAATAAATCACAAAGGGATAAATTTGCTTTTAGTTACCAATGTAATTATGGAGGAATTAATGCTGTCACTGAAATTAATTATCAGCAAAATTGCTCCAGATTTATGTTAGTTTAATTAAATGAAATTTGGCCTCCAAGGTCTAAGCCTCTCACTGACCACCAACTCTTTATGTATAAGAACATGTGCTTGTTACAAATATGCTGTGGTCTCCACATAATGTGAATTTTGTGTGTTTTAGTTGCCTTTTTAATCATTTTCTTACATTCCTTTTACTTTGCATCTATACAGCTCTTCTTTTAGCTATTTTCTACCTAGCTCTGTAAGATGTAACTTCCTTTTGTGTGAAGAGTATGAAAAGAAATGAACAGTAACTTAAAGAAGGTAACAATTAAAGCCATTTTTAAAAAGTAAAGCCAGAGAAAATCCAGTTGGATGGTCCAGTGGTCCAATGGTCTGCATCACAGAACTCTAAAAGATACAGCAGACAAGACTTTTAGAAGTTCAGTAGAGATTTTTCAGGTCTTATATTAAAAATGCTTAGGGACTGGCAAATATTTTATTATGCTCCTGATTTTTAAAAAGTTTAAGGAAGGGAAACAAGAACCTTGTTACCTGCAAATCTGACTTTTGAACTAAGAGTATTCTATTTATCAGAGTACAAGTGTTTGCCCAGAAAGTTTGAAGTGAAATGGCACAGGGCTCTAAGAGGCTCACTGTGCTTGTAAATTTGATGATTTTCTTGGAATGAAGGTAAACTAGGTGCCATTTACTGCAGATGCTGTGGTGGACTTAATCCCAACCACTCGTTTAGCTGACTTGGTTTGAAATTGAGATTGTAACTGCTTTGATCAAGCATGAGAGGCAAATGTGTGTATGTGTGTTTCTCTCTAATTTCCCATCCTTTTCATCCCTGTCCTGTTCTTACTCTTTATCAACATGATGCTTCTACTGCAGAGACCTGCCTCTTCCTGCCTGCTAATCTGCACAGTGTGTAGTTGTGTTCAGTAAGGTCCTAGGCCTCGGGGAAGAAGATGTGAGAGCAGTGTAACAGGAACTGAACCCGATGCAAGGCAGGGCTTTGTGTGTGACTGATATGGAAAGGCAAATAAGGATATCCATAACACAATGTTAGGAGCTGTGGCTGTGTCAGGCTTAGGTTTCGTAGATTTCAAAACTCAACTGTGTCCATAAGTTTGCCTGAAATAGGAAAGGCCCTGTTCCTGCAGCCCTGGGGCCTCGTGTTGAAAATCTTGGTGATTTCCAAGCTAAGTTGAATCACACCATATCAGTATTAAATTAGCAGGAGGCCCTCTAAGAAACCTCTAGAGGACTGTGCTTTTTCAAGGCTAAACAATATTGCTCTGTGATTATTTGAACCATTTGTACCTGAAACTGTTGAGTTTGTTTTCCCAAACCATCCAGGTTAATGTAAATGGTTCATGGTCCATACAAAGCACTCCTCCATCCACTGTTGTACCTGTACAGGCACAGCAGCCTCCTCTCTGTATTGTGTTTGTTTTCTGGGAGGTGGAGACAGACCTATTGTTTTTTATTAAAAACAATGTAAAAGTTGAAGAATATTGTATTGTGTTATGACTACTGTTAAAATATTTAAATTTGTAATTAAAAGGTTAATGTTGTTAAAATTCTAAATAAAAGTATCTAAAGTTTTGCTTGTAATAGGATGCACTGTGTCGTTAATGAGCTGGGGAAGGGGAGGCTGCACACAGCCAACGCCATGGGAATGCTGTGTGCTTCCAGTTGAGCCAGTGTGGAACTGGGAGCACTGGGGAGGTGGGAGGCACCTGTCACTGGGCAAGGAGAGCCCCACACCATGTGCTGTCACTGAGGGGGGCAGAGTAGCGTGGGGTGGCACGGTGGGGACACCAGTGTGCCTGCACCACCGAACACCTCAGCCAGGCTGTGACAGACAGGGCTGTGACACCCTCACAGGGCAGGGCTGAGCTGTGCAAACCCTCCGGGTGTTTGGGCTGCTTGTGTCAGGAGCAGAACTGCCAGGTACTGCAGGCTTACCTGGCATGGCACTGACAGCTCAGCAAGAGCCATTCTCCTCTCTGAAGAGCTGTCCCAGGCCCCAGTGCAGTGCTGGAGGAGCTGTACTCAGCTAAGGTGCTGTGCAGAACCCAATCAAATTCCTGAAAGATGCCCTTGGTACTTACTAGACAGCAGTTATCAATTTCAGGCCCATAATTACATTTTGCAACACAAAATTCATTCGTGCAGTTGGATAAACTGCTCTTCAGGTTGCAGAATGCCACTGTGCACTGTTCAGCCATCACTGTGCCTGCACATCCAAGGGCAGTCTAGATGCATTTGCTAGAATTGTAAACTTGGAAGAACGGAATGAAAAGGAGAATTGTCTGGCAAAAGAATCATAGAACTAATAGGAATGAGATCCTGTAATGTTTTGTTACAGCCACAACTCTCATTGCTTCTATGTTTTCAGTTTATGATGGAAATGGAAAGGAAAAAAGGGAAGGGGAATGTAAGAGCATCAGAGTTAAGGGGAACTCACACTTTGCCTTGCCTTACCTCACCTTGTATCTATCATCACTCATTGTTTTTCCCACCTTTTCATTAAATGAATGCACTGTGTTTAATAATATTTTTCTTGTATGAAAAACCAACATAATCAGTGGACGAAAATATAAGAGGAAGATTACAAAGCTTACTATCAAAGTGCTCAAAGGCAGAAATGGGCACTTTCACCTACAAATCCTGTTCTAGTAACTGTATGTGCTGTAGCATGAAGTGACACAGTTTAGAAATGAGTTGATAATGAAACTGCCTCAATTATGCCTAAAAGCCATGTTTGTATCCTGTTCTTTGTTGTAGCTTCCGAAGAGGAGGACCCTCGAGGCACGAGGGCCGGGGGCCCAGGGGCAGAGATGGCTTCCCTGGCCCTGAAGATTTTGGGCCAGATGATGCTTTTGACTCTCCAGATGAAAACTCCAGAGGAAGGGACCATGGTGCTCGGGGCCGAGGGCGAGGTGCTCCGAGAGGTAAGGGCCACGTTCTTGCACACAGAAACACGAGGGTGAGGAAGGAAAGGCACTTCTTGGGCACCTGATGTTATTTTCATCAATACAATGTCTCTTCTCACTCCTGTCCCCTGCTTCTCTTACTGCTCAGGAGCTCGGAAGGGTTTGCTTCCTACTCCAGATGAATTCCCACGTTTTGAAGGAGGGAGGAAACCAGACTCCTGGGATGGAAACAGAGAACCAGGTAAAAAACTTGGTGAGGTTTGTAGACTTCTACAATATAATAACTTCTAAAAATATTTTTTAAATCATGTGTTTTTCCTGTACCTCACATTTGTTACCAGTATTTTACCATGAAAAAAGGCAAATGCAGTTCTTTGGTCTTTTCAATTTAGGAAAAAAGAATGACACAGAATTTAACTGTCTTTAAATACAGCTGTCTTATTGAATAAAAGTGATTGTGCCCTCAAAGCCTTGATTTTCAGTTGTGTTCTTGTGCAGTCCAGAATTGCCCAGGCAACTGTCACCTCTGGATGACTGAATCATGTCATGGGTTTTAAAAAATATCTGTATTAATGCCAACAGTAATCTTTCCCTATGTTGGTATCTTTTCAGCTGCAATGTCTGACAGCTTATATTTGCAGTTGTGTTACTAAAGGCAGCCCCATATGGGGCAAGACAGAGCTGCAGAATGTCATGGAAAACAAATTACAAATGGCACATGAATAAATGAAGGTGTGATTGTCTCCAAAATATATGGAAGTATTTTATACTGGAATAAACACTGTACATCTGCCACACTTTTCTTTCCCATCATCTTAAAAATCTGTTTTACCTTTAGCTTTTTTACAAAAAAATGGGACAGAGGAGAAGCTTTACATAATTTTAACTGTGTTGCAAACAGTGTGGGCAGTTTGTAAATTTATGTGACTGCTTTCAAAAATGAAGAACAATGATGCAATAAACATTACTTATCTTGTGTTTTCATGCACAGGTCCTCGTCCAGATCACCCTCCTCATGATGGGCACTCTCCAGCCAGCAGAGAACGTTCCTCCTCCCTCCAGGGCATGGACATGGCCTCACTGCCACCACGGAAACGGCCCTGGCACGATGGACCAGGAACCTCTGACCACAGGGACATGGATGCTCCAGGTGGCCCTCCAGAGGACAGGGGCAAAGGTAAAAAGCCCCTTTGATTGGAACCCTTATGTAACACTGGAATGTATTTTCAGTATTAAGTGTATCCAGAACTTCTCTGTTCAGAGGGGATAAAGCTGAGCTGGTAAATATCTGATGTTACCAGCTGGGAAGTTACAGACCAGGCTTACAGGAACATAAGAACAGAGTGATTTTCAAACATCAAATCCAAATCTTGTCTCCAGCACTGCAGAATCCTCTTCTTTATTACCCTGTTGAAAAGTAGTTGATTTTTGGTTCCCTGTTACTCAGCTGGAAAACTCATTAAGAACATTTTTCCCTCATTTTCAGAATAGTTGTTTATTACTATTAATGCTTGTGATGTTATTCTTTAACCCAAATGTAACATTGAGCCTGGAGTGATATGTCCCTGAAGTGCTCTCTAAACCTCTGAAGATCTGACTTACTAAAACATTATTTTTATATTTAATGGCTTTCTAGTTACCTTTTGTGTAAGAATCATCTAAACTTTTGATATACACAACATCCATGGACAGACTTCTAAAACTTAATTGAAGCAGACTATGCTTTAAAAAAAAAAAGAGGGAAAATGTTTTTCCCTTAATCTATGCTTACCATTCACTAATTTAATTTGATGTCTTGTATGGTAATTAATGTGGGTCCCTGTTATTACTGAATGCCACCTCTGATTGCACTGAGCTCCACCACTTTCAGCCTGAACCAGCTCTTCTCCAAGTCAGAGCTCTGATTTCTTTATTCTTTCTAGAAATTTTTCTCTTTCACTATCGTTGTTACTCTGTATGTGTTATTTTGAGTTTTAAATTATCCTTTTCTAAATTAAATGAGGTAGCTAGGAATTACACACACTATTTAAGATGTGGTGTAACCATGGATTTCTGTAGTTCTCTTGTACTTGTTCCACTTCCTCCATTCTTTCCTAACAGTTCCTGGTGCTGTAGTTCCCTCTAAGTGGTGCCATGTTTCTGTAACCCACAGAACACATTCCTTTGGAGTCAGTGCTATTGGCATCACATTTGTTCTTGATCCTGTTTCTTACAGATCTCAGGGCTTCTGTTCTCTTGTGTAAATACTTTAATGTCCTCACATTGACTACCCACCGTCAGGTAGTGATCAGTGACAAACATCCTTCTCATTTGGCTGCTGAGCTGGCAGCCTGCAGCTGAATTTCTTGCTGTCAGACTGCACAGCTTTGTCTCTGATGCCACTGAACACTGAATCCCAGCCCACTTCCCTCACCACTGTCCCAAACTCATTCAGTTTTAACTGCCTGACACTCCTCCTCTGCATGGACTCTGTTCCCAGGTTGATAAAACTTCTCTGATAAAACTTCTGCTGATAAAACTTCTCTACCATTATTTTTCCTTCCATATCACATGCTGCAGTTCTCAATTTAGCCAGCATCTATCAAATCTATATATAATATAAGGATTCCTTTTCCAGCTTCAGTAATGATTGTGATAACTCTATCAGATTCTTTGTTAAAGTCAAAACAATCCTTGTCCAGGCACAAGTGTGGTAATTAACTCATAATGTGCTAAAGAAAGTTCAGAATGATGGCAGAAAGCCTGATAAACAAACCATGAACAATTCTTCACATGTGGGCTGTGTCACCTTCAGTTGTACTGGGAAAATCCTTTGGAGATTAAAACTTCATGAATATTTCTGTGAAACAATTTGGTGACTGTTTTACATGGAACCATCCACAGTCAACAAAAATCACTTTTGCTAAAGTGCAGCAAAGATACCTGAATTTAGCTGTAGTATGTGTCCTTAAACAAAGTTACAACTGATTTTGTTTTCTCAAAATATTGCTGCTTATTTTAGGCTCATGAATTGGGTTGGGGTTTTTTGTTGTTCATAGCAAACATATCAAAACCAAAAAGGTATGTGAGAATTAGAAAATTCTGTTCTGTGAGAATTAGAACATTCCATTCCTGGCAGTAAGAGCTTGAGTACTTTTTGTTTCAGGTTAGTAGTAAAATAAAGCATTTTTCTATTATTTTTAGCAAAAAATTGAAAAAAAACAGTAATGTTACTCATGATCTTCACCATTAGCCTCAACTGTCTCAATTTGTCAACAGTGCAATGTCTTTGTTTAGGATTAAAAAAAATAATTTTGCAATAAAAACATGGAGAGAACCACAGTGTTAGCACAAGAACTGGCAGTTTGGAGGAAAAGCTGTCACTATTCTGACTTCATTTCAGTGCCTGCTGACAGTATCAAATACAAGCTCCTTTAATTCCCAAGGAATTGCTTGATTGTTGTCCATTTTCTGAACTGTAATGGAGACACTAAATCTGTATAAGAAAATTGTACTGAGGGAGGAGGCATAAAATGGCAGGTCTCAGCTGCAGCTGGTTTATGAATGATGGCACCACAGCAGAAGCAGCTCAGTGCCTGGCATGTCTGAGAAGAGACTCAGCTCAAACTCCCACCGGTAACTGGCTGTGCTTCCTTTGCAGGACGAGGAAATTCGGGACCCTCACAGAGAGCGCAGAAATCTGGGAGGTCCAGTTCTCTAGATGGAGACCACCACGATGGATTCCACAGGGAGGAAGCCTTTGGTGGAGGCCCTGGGGCAGGCAATAACCCTTCTCGAGGAGGAAGGAGCAGCAGCAGCTGGGGAAGAGGAAATAACATGAACTCTGGCCAGTCCCGGAGAGGAGGATCTCGGGGCGGCCGAGGCCGATAGAAGAGGCTTTGACTGGGTCATGCCCAGTCCTTGTGGGACAATATTTAAATAGACTGCTACTCTGGACAATGCCACAAACCTGGATTCTTAACTGGGATAACTGAATGTGCATTAGTTCCTAACAAGGGTCTTTCTTTTCCTGAACCAGTCATTTGCCTCTAGCTGCAATATTGTAGCTACCTTTGTTTTGTTCTTTCCACTCCCATTGCCCTCACTTTCTTGTTTTTGTCAAGAGCTGGAATTTCTTTTAAGTGTTGTGGAACATGGAGCATCTCCACAGATTTCAGTTCACCTCCAGACAGAAACTTGTTTCTATATGTACAGTTTGTCAAAGAGTTACGTTGGTTTTGTATGAATACAGAATGTAATTTGCGCAAAAATTAACAAAAAAAAATCAACAGTGTGTGATTCTTTACTCACCTATTACTATAGAGGGTTGTATTTAGGCAAACTTGTGTTTCAGATGGAGCAACAGCACTACCTCCTGAAATCTCAGCCAGTTAAAATACTGAGAGATGATTCCTAGGGCTTTGGTTTATCATGTACAGAGAAGTTTCATTTTCACCTTTAGCCACAGCTGTCTGCAATGGTGCTGAGGTCAAAATTCCAAACTGCAGGCAATCACCACTGCTTGCTAGTCTGCTATCCTGAAACAAAAGAGTGGAAGAGTGTTTAGAACAAGTTGTCAGAGACATAGTGTGAGTTACATAACCTGGATCCTAAGACAGACATCACAGCAAAGATTGGCATTCTGCACTTCACCTAGCAAGCCACAGGTTTTTGTTCAGAACAGGATCTGTTTACAAAAACTGAGACAGAAAGTTTAGCAGCTTGATTGGTATGTTTTACAGCAGCTATGTGACACACTGTTTAAAGCTGTGGGTGCTCAGCAGAGTCTGGTGCATTAATTGCTGAAGTGCAATTCATCACTTCCAGAATAAGGGTTTTTTTTAAGTGTCTTTTTCTTTAGGATATTGTTACTTGGTTTTACTAAAGGAGGGAAATGAGGAGGAGGGGTTATTCCCATTTCCCACATTTTATAATAAAGCTGCTTACCAACCATGAGTTTGTTTTCCCCATAAATCATTCCTATTAATCATCTCCAGCCACTGTGTTATCAGAAGGCTCATTAACACCTAAAGCCTCAGTGAAAATGTTACCACATAAATGCTTACTGTCCAGGTACCCCTCAGGAAGGTCCTGTATTGAAAGTAGAGCATATAATGAAAAACCACAACCAGGCTTCCCTCCTGCCTTGAATTTGAGGTTATAATCAGGATGAGGCAGTTCTAGAGGCTCCTGCAGCCCAGTAACACACAGAGCTGCTGCATCTTCCCATAGGCAGGGTTACCAAAGGCTGGCTCAAGTCCTGATGTCCCATCTTCCTCAGACATCAAAGCACAGATGCTTAACTTGTTTTCTTGGTTCAGTCAGACTCTTTTTACTTGGTTTTTAGTTTGTGGTGTATCAAATCACATTTGAAAACTGTAACTGATCATTAGCCAATAAAATCCTTGTCATAGGAGTCAGGAGAAACAGAATGGTCTAAAAGGAACTAACTAGAAACAGCTGAGATGCATCTGATATGACAGTTTGTCCCTTGAGAAAAAATGCTGTTCAGCTCTATCTGAAGGACTTTGGGCACTTTGGGTGTTGGTCTGGGAGTTGGGATTTCTGAGTCCTGAAGTTTTCATGAAAAATACTAATGATTTAATCACTTTCAAAGAGGAAAGCTTACCCTCTTTTTCTTTATTTAGTAAGCCAAATATATGTTTAAAGGACTAAAAGAGAGCTAATACTTAGATCCCATGAGTTAGAGGGTGATCTTTAGGCTTTAATTAAACCACAGTCCTCTACCAAAACAAGGTAAAGTGTATCTAACAAGAGAAAACTCAGCTTTATCTAGACAACTTATATTTCCTCTGATGACTGTCTAATTCCTTAAACAATTGAGGTACTTAACTGTTCAAGGGGCAGCTTTTTAAATGGAGTTTTAAAGTATTTCACAATCATATGCTCAAAAAGTCCTAAGAAAATTTGATATAGTTTCTACAGAATCTTGGAAGGTAACAGCATAGCAGAGACAGAAGCAGCTTCCCATTCTGTGATACCATGACCCACTATTACTGGGAAATGGGCACAGTTATTTAATGGGATTATACTTCTGTATTCCTCAGGTCATGTTATTTTACCAGTGCTGCACACAGACTCTTATGCTCTACCTGTTAGTTCAGAGGTTGTCTCAAATTTAATTTTACACTGCTGTTAGGAATTAAATTAATTTTACATACTGTAATTTAGAAATTGTAAAAACGAGAGCTAACTTAATGCTATTCTGATAGCTCTGATCTACATTCTTAATGGAAAAAATGACCATTAGTGAAATGTCTATACTGACAATTGGACAGAAATATTTTTTATTAAAATGTACACTTAAGCACCCCCTTTAACAATTTCAGTTTAATTCAAAAAAGTATTTGGTAAATATTAAAACTAAATAGTGATAGCAGGATTGCAGTGGCTTCATTTTCTCCACGAGGCACAAAAGCTCAGTGAGAACTCACTGGGGGCTCTGTGCAGTGAGGTCCCATTGCCTTGCACGGGCCCAGTGCCCGGCCCAAACAGGAGCCCCCAGCTCTGTCAGCCTGAATTCAGCACCTCTAAGGCAGCTCAGTTTCTGCACTGAAGCAGAGCTCCAGTTACTGGCACATCTATTTTTGAAGGTCAGGCTGGGACAAGTAAGCAACTGCTGCCCAAGTTCAGAGAGCAGAACTATACACAAAAATGAAGTTGTAACAGCTGAAGCTCCCGTTTTAAAGCCCAGTTTGGTCCCTTACTGCAGTACCTCCAAACGCCAATGCTCTTAACCAACATCAGCACTTTGCATCCTCTCATCATCATGCAGGAACACCCCCTCCCCTTACAATTATGGGCAGTGTTTGTCACCCACAGCCCCAGGAAAGTTTGTTTCACTTACTGGATGGTTATTTTAAAGCTGCTTTATAGAGAGAAATGCAGTGCAGTGGCCACAGTCTTCTTATTCACCACTGGTCTGAGGTGACAGCAAAACCAGTATGTGTTCATAGTGTAGGGGTCAGCACAAAATGAGGTAAAACCAGTTAATTTTTCAATGTTCTCCCCTAGCCTCGATCGCATTTTGCTAAATCATCTTCGTGTTTCAGCATCCGTCAGCCTTGCGCACCTCAGCCGCTGCTCAGTCCTCAATGCCGCCGCATGGGCTCCGACCGCGCTCCGCAGCCGCCACACGGTCGTCCTGGGCTGGGGAACGAGCTCCCCACCCAGAGGTGGAGCGGTGCCAGGCAGTGGCTATGGAGTTGGCAGCGATGCCAAGCCGTGCCTATGGAGCTGGCAGCGCGGTAAGGCAGACACCGAGCTCGGGGCGGCTCGGCAGGCTGACACCGCACACAGCAGCTCCGAGTCACCGGGGCCGCTCCGGGCTGCCGGCCCCGCTGCTGCTGCTCCTCGAGCGCTGGCGAGGAAAACGTGCCGGGACGCGGAGGAGGCGAAGAGAAGCGGCGTTCCCGGCCTGGGAGTCAGCTGGCGATCCGGGTCCGCGTGTGAGGGACTCCCGCGGGGCCGCGGCCGCTCCTCCCCGGCGCGCCGGGCTCACAGAGGCAGCGCCGCCTTGCCTCGGCCGCACACAGCGGCGCGGAGCAGCGCGGCCAGGCGGCGCAGGCCGGCGGCACCGCCGGGCAGCGCGGCCAGGAGCGCCGTGGCGGCGATGCCGAGCTGCGCGGCGGCACCCAGCGCGGTGAGCGCGGTGCTGCGCAGCGCCAGCGCGGCGTACAGCGTCCCGAAGAGCGCGCCGAGGTAGAGCAGCGCCCCGCGGCCGGGCTCCCGCAGCAGCCGGGCGGGCCCGCGCAGCAGCGCGGCGGCGCCCAGCGCGCACAGCGAGCCCAGCGACCAGAGCAGCGCGAACTTGCGGGCGCGCAGCAGCAGCAGCGGCACGCACAGCCCGGCCAGCCCGAAGCACAGCGCGGCCAGAAGCACGCACAGCCCGCTGCCCGCCAGCCGCTGCCAGCGCGACAGCCCCGGCAGCCACGGGTCCTCCTCTCCCGTCCAAGGCCACACCGTGGCGCCCGGGGCACTGCCCGGCGGGAACGGGTTCAGCGCCCCCAGCCAGGCCCGCAGCCCGCCGCCGTCCCCCGCCTCCTCCTGCGAGCCGCCGGCCGCCGGCGCTGCGGGGACCGCGCTGGGGCCGGTGGCGGCAGCAGAGGCCTTGGACTGCGCGAGGTACTCGTGCAGCTGCCGGCCCAGGTCCGCCATGGCGGGGACGGCACCGGGCGCTACAACGCTCCCTCCGCCCACCCCGGCGCCGCCATTTTCCCGGGCAGGGGCCACATCCGGGGCACGGCAGAACACGCGGCCGCAGGCCGGGGAGAGCGGCGCGCATGCGCCAGGGACTGTGAGGCGCAGGGCGCGTGCGCGGGGGTCGTGAGGGCTCTGAGGGCTGGGGGAGCTGAGAGGGCGATGGGGGCGAGGCGATCTGTGAGGGCTGTGGAGACTGCGAGAGCTCTGCGCTGTGAGGGCTGTGTGGGCTGTCTCGGGCTCCCTGAGGGCTGTGTTGGCGCGAAGGGCTATAAGCCTGGGATTAGTCTGTCAGTGATTGACACCCAGCACTAAAAGTGATTGACAGGCGGGATCAGCCCAGGAGATGGATTGACAGGCGGTAATAAGAGTAGTTGACATGTAGAGGCATCCACTCAGAGTGATTGATGGGCAAGGCCAGGGGTGATGAGGGGCAGGTTCAGCCTCTCAGGGTGAGCACAGGCAGGGCCATGGGAGTGCCCTCAGCTTCCCACAGACACTGGGGCACCGGAGCAGTGCCCTGTAGCCAGGCTTCTGTGGCTGAAACTGGGATTCCGCCTCCCAAAACTGAACACCCGAGCATTACTCCCAGACAAAAGCTGCCAGACTGACAGGACTTGCTGGCCTTGGCTTCCTGGGGATGGCCTCTCAGCTGCCCCACAGACACTGGGGCTTTCCTTCCTTCACAGCCAGGCACCCAGGGCTGAAGGTGGGATTCCACCTCTCTCGCCCCACACAAGAACTTATCTGTTGCTTGTTAACTGGCCGGATAACTCAAACGGGACATGCTGTCTTGTATTGAGTTATTTTGGTACCATGGGGTTAAGACTGGTCTGGCATCTGGAAGATAAAGCTGGATATCTGATTGACAGACACCTCACTTTATAAAAGCAGCACCAAACTTTGACAAAGCAGAAATTTTCTGTACTTTTCCTGGAAATGTGTAGAGTTTCTCCTATGACCAGGCCTGCCTGCTTTGCAGTTACTCCCCTGAAGGTTAAGTGAAAGGAATCTGTATACATTATCATCATTTCAGTGGTCAGTTACATTTGACTCCTAATCATTGTTTCTTTTGCTAGCTTTAATATAGGTACCTTGATATCCTGCACTGTTCTGTGTTATGCTGTAATCTACTAGTAGTACTTTTTAGTACCAAGAATTGCTCCCAGACAGAAGTTGCCAGGACATAGTGGTCCCACTGGCCTTGACTTCCCTGGGCTGCCTCTCATCTGTACCTGAAACACTGGGGCTGTGAGCTTTCCTGCTGTGGAAATTAGCTGTAATTCCCATCCAGGAGCCCATGTTGGACATTTGATTTGCACCTCCACAAGTGCAATGTGCTGGAGTGCTTCTGTGCAGAGACACTGCTCTGCACCACAGTAAACTGACATTTCAGACTGTGTGAGGCTACATAAGGCTGAGAATTCACCTGCAGAGCACCATGGTTTAAAGGCTGCAAGAGGAGAGTGACTGCCACAATTGCCTTCCAAATTCTGGTTACAAGGGGGAAGGTCAGTGAACACTGTCTGTGCTATCACAGGTTCCCAATCGAGACTTATGTTGAAACAATTCCATTTAGCTTTAGACTCTGAGATTCAGCAAATATTGTGGTAGAAAGCTGAGAAGAAAACCACAATATTGCACCTGAAGCTGCAGACCAGCAGTGGTTCAGCAGGCTGGTGCTGTCTCATTTAACTTACATCCTGTGAAAAGCAACCACACTCTGGAGTCATCAATTTTCCTGCTCAGCCTCATGTACCATCACATTCTTCCACTCTCCAAAACCCAGCTTCAAAACTCAACATGTCCAGTAGTGCTTCTTTTACTGTATGTCCTAAAACAAAAAGTAAGCACTGGCCTTCCCTTCCCCCTTGCAGTCTCACAGAGTCCAGTTACAAAACTAAGAATATTCAGCAGTTCATATCCCAGAAAAGGTTCCAGAGGAGAAAGAGGCTGTGCTGGAATTTTTCTTTTGCAGCCTACAAACTGCCCAGCAACAGTGAGAGATTCCTTCCCAGCAATATGCAGGATGACATTCTCTCAGTCTCGAGGATTCAGGAATCCCTACACCAGCTGCTCCCACAATAATAGTGCCAGGAGGGCACAGAGGGTGTGATTTTTACCTGGGCGCTGTCAGCGCTCACAAATCGCACCACACGATGGCGGTGTGCACTTGCAAAAGGAGGAATTTCACCTTTTCTAGCTCTAAACCACCCAAAATGCAGATCCAAGTTCAAAACGTCACTGCTCTCAAATAAACTGAGTCAGGACAGAAAGATTTCACTGACTTTCCCCTTCCAAGAACAAACTCCGATTTGCACCACACTCAAAACCAATTCCTCTGTGCTAATAATTTTTTTCTTTCTCATAGAGTGCAGCTACAAACTTGAAAACCACGGGCAAAAGTGTAGCTCACAAAAGTGCCAGCTGAGAAAGCTGTTGCTGGCCAAAACCAGTTTTGTCTTGGCTTTGCTGAAGGTTTAGCTGTCTCTGAGCTAAACTCATTTATTGTGTGTTTTTAAGAACATTTGGGCTTTGATATAATGATGTGTACATGGACACTGAGAAGGTGGGGCTGGGGGAAGAAATGCTCAAGTCAGCAAAAGATGAAATGGAGATGAACTGAGTAGAAACCCCTTGAGTTTGGAAATCAGAAGAAATAAAAGTCAAGAACAACCCTCCAAAGAGCTTCAGGCAGGTATGTGGGGAGGGTGAGCAGAGCCAGAACTGTTGATTAAAAACCTTCCAGTTGTTTATTCCCCTAATTTGCCCATAGTAATCCCATATTTCCAGCTCCCCTCCTGCTTCCTAAACCACTCCACTTTGCACCATATCAGTTTGTAATTGCTGTTCCCTATTTAGCAGTCAGTGAATGGAAAACTGGCATGTTGTGACTGTAATGATATTAAATTCTGTTGTGCCATTGAGATTGCAAAGATCAGGAGAACACTGAGGTTCTTGCTGCCTCTCTCTGTGCCTTGACTGACTGATGGATTTTTACTGTTTTTGATTTCCCCTTTTCCTGTTGTACTGTCCCTCCCCACCTCAGAGAGCTGGAACAGGGAATGCTGAAGGTTTTAATAAGGCTGATTCCACCAGTGTTAATCTGCATGTTTGGGATAAACACAGAGTGGTAGTTACTAAGTCAGCAGCCTTGGGATGCTTTCCAAAGCAGAGCTGGAGCGTTTTACCTTTGGATATTTTGCCCTGAAGCTACCCTGAGACTGGGTTTAGGAACAAAATAGAGGCAAAGGCACAAAGGCCACCTGACAGCAATGAGGATTTCACCACAGGGAGGGTCACTGCCATCCAGGACCATCTGAAACCCAAAGGTTTATTGCATGTGCTGCAGCTGAATGGAGGGCAGGGGGCGTATGGGATGAAATCAGGGCAGAAAAGGCTCGACTGAGGCATTCATTAGTTGTCCTGCTCTGTTTTCTGTGGGATGCTCTTGTCACAAGGAAGGCTGGCCTAAGGGGCAGGAGAGATGCTGAAGCAGGTTTAAAAAAAAAAAAAAACAAAAAAACAAAAAAAAAATCCTAAAAACAAGGATTAAAAAAAAAAACAAAAAAACAAAAAAAAAATCCTAAAAACAAGGATTCAAATGAAGGCTCAAAGCTTGCAACTTTTTTAAAAAGAAATACAATATTTGCCTAAAAACATTGACAAAAAATTTAGAATAACAACATAAAATTGAGGTGGCTATCTGATGTTAGGATATTGGGGGATGGGGGAGGAAGAGGATGTGAACACAGACAATAAAAGGTGATGAGAAAATGTGGATGTTACCAGCAAAACCCAGAGGTAACAGCAGCCTCAGCAATGCCTGGGGGCAAAGGGGATGTCTGGCCCTTGGGACTGGGTGTTCAGAAATCTTCATGACCAGTCTGAAAAGTGACTTGAAGATCTGAATTTGAAGGAAAGGAGAAGGAATTTTGTGAGGGTTTGGCTGCCAGGTCTGTTTTTTCCGTGACAGAAGGGTGCTTTACTTTGCTCCTTGAATTCTGCACTCCTTAAGCTGCTGCCTAATCCTTGGCAGTGGAGAAAGAGGAGCAGACAGAGCTTAAACTTGTCATCACCCCAGGCAGGTTTTGGTCAGTGGGCTTCCCAAAGGCTGAGTGTGCTTCCCAGCCTTCCTATTCCTCTGATCCATGGAAAACAAGGAGAGGGGAATCCTACCAAAAGCTTGTTTAAAAACTTATTTACATTACAAGCTTTTTACTATATTTATGTGAAAAAATGTAGTATTTTACAGCCAATGGGAATTCTGTCCCAGAGCTACAGGAAAATAGGCTTTTCCAAAAAAAAAAAAAAAAAAAAAAAAAAAAAGAAAGGCCTCTTCAGGTGTACTAAGGAACTTCAGGTGGTCACAGAGTGTGAGATATGGTGCAATGTGGAAAATTCTCCTGAATTTTACCGAGGAGTTCATCTTCAAAGCAAGTTCCACCTAATTTGAGGTGGTTCAGGCGAGGCAGCACTTGCAGCAAAGCGATAACAGTACCAAGGGAGACCAAATCATAGAGGTCAAGGCACAGTGTCTCCAGGTGCTCCAGGGTCACGATAGCCACCAGCCCCCTGTTTGTCAGGAAGTAGGCGTTGCTGATTTCCAGGTAGCGGAGCTGCTTCATGTGCCGCCCGATGAACACCATGGCAGCATCGCCAATGATGCAGTGCCGCAGGGTCAGGCGTTCCAGCTCCTCCAGGTGCGGAGCTGCCGCTTGGATCCCCATGTCAGTGACGCCGTACGTGCCGCAAAGGCTCAGCGTCTTCAAGTGGTTCTGTGAGGAAATGTCAAGAAGATGATGGTCAGAAAAGGTGGGAATGCTGTCGATAGCGAGGTGTTGTACCTGTGGCGGCGGCACCGAAGGGGACACGCAGAACCAGGCGTCGGGGATGTCGCAGAGGCTCAGCTCCAGCGTGGTGACAGAGGCGGGCATGCTCTCGTACGGGACATGGCGGAGGTCGGTCTCGGTCAGGCACAGCCGATGGAGC